CAAAAGCTGACAAACTATGGGTTGAGAAGGGAGGCTCTGAACTGAAGCCTCAGTTCATTACTACACACTGGCACCAGGAGGCCATCCAAGCCTAACACCTCTCTGTCTGACCTTTGTCCACCTCGCTAGGTACCATGGGGAATAGGCTGCAGAGGATCAATGTGGAGAACACAGAAGAGAATCGCCGGGCTTTTCGAGAGATCCTCTTCTCTTCAGATGCATCCATCAACCAGAGCATTGGGGGAGTGATCCTCTTCCACGAGACTCTCTATCAGAAAGACAGCAGTGGAAAGCCATTTCCAGCTCTCATCAAAGAAAAAGGCATTGTGGTGGGAATAAAGGTCAGTATCTGTACATGTCTGGCTGGCAGCATACTCCAAACCCGTTTTTCCAGTGAAAACTATATATGGGGCTGCACTATCCCTGTCAAACACTTTTTTTTCTTTTTTGTACTTGGTTTTAAAATCACTAGAGGATGTCTGCCACCATTCTCTGTATTGCTTTTGTGCAACTAACCACGGGCACATTTGCATTTGATGCAGGAACTTTTCATCCACCAACTCCCATCTACTCACCATTCACTGCAATTAAATCCCTCCATGCAGTAACCTAAATCCAGTCATTTCCGCACCTGACAGAGCTCTTGAGCCATTCCCTGCAGTCATCTACACATTGCCCCTTCCTATTACCCAAGTCACTCCTTTTCTTCCCCTTTGTTCCAACATTTTCCTCCTTTGCACCCTTAGGGTGTTCAGCCCCATACTTTACTCACAGTCAGCCTGCAAAGACAGACTAGCCATGAGTAAGAAGATAAGGATGAGACTGATCTCCATCTCTCTGTAACCCTTCCTGTTCTTCTGGTCTCCACAGCTGGATAAAGGCACAGCACCCCTCGCAGGAACAAATGGAGAAACCACCATCCAAGGTAAGGAGAGATTTAAGGAGCCTAAGTTATGAGTAGTGCAGCAAAAATCATGGGGTGACTCACCTGAGTCACAGCCTTGGCTGTCGTTATGGTACTTTTCAGACCTATGTCCTAGAAGAACTCCTATCAGTGAAGCACTGTTCTTTCGTCTGCAGGGCTGGATGGACTGGCTGAGCGCTGTGCCCAGTACAAGAAAGACGGTGCTGACTTTGGCAAGTGGCGTGCAGTGCTGAAGATCACCAGCACAACACCCTCTCAACTCGCCATCCAAGAGAATGCCAACACATTGGCACGCTATGCCAGCATCTGCCAGCAGGTATCTACCCTCCAGCAACCTTTCCTGAGATGCTGTTGCCCCTTTTCACTGTTCCCTGTGATAACATGCTAGGTAACTTGACAGGCAGATCTCTGTGAGGGTTTTGGGAAAGATGAGGAAGAAGAGCAGCGCAGCAAGAAGGATTACCAACAAAGTCAGGGTAGACAAGGACAGTTTTTCTTCCACACTCGCAAAACCTTCCCTGTTTTTCTTTTCTTAGCATGGTTTGGTGCCCATTGTGGAGCCAGAAATCTTGCCTGATGGAGACCATGATCTCCAGCGCTGTCAGTATGTCACAGAAAAGGTAAGAGATTCCTGGCTCTCTCCTCCCCTTCACAAATCGGTAGCTAATCTTATGCAGAGTTTGTGTTCACAGATCTCAAAGAGTTTTGACCAAAAAGGTACTTCATAACTGCATCACAAAAATTAGTTGCTCACAGTCAAATAATGAGTTAATAGCAAATGTAAGAGTAGAATCAGTGCTTTTGGATTTCTACTCAAACTGTCAATATAAGCATTCTCAATCTCAAGAAGATGGATTGGAAGCAAAACACTTACCCCTCTTTCAGTACTTCAGTTGGTAGGGTCAAATCCAGTAAATAGCAAGAGTGGTGTCCTGGTCATCTCAAAAGCAGTGGTGTCTCCAGGGCTGCCACCCCTGTGATAAATTTCATGAGAAAGCAAAGTTCAATTTGATCTTCCCACACTCTCAAGAAATAAGCTGTCTTTCCACAGCAGGTTGAGGTGAAGATTTGAGCAGAGGTCTGTATTCAGTCCTTCTGTTTGCAGGTTCTGGCTGCTGTCTACAAGGCCTTGAATGATCATCATGTGTACCTGGAAGGGACACTGCTGAAACCCAACATGGTGACGGCCATTCCTGCCCCAAGAAGTACACCCCTCAGGTTTTAGCCATAGCAACTGTCACTACCCTTCTCCGCACCGTCCCTGCTGCTGTTCCTGGTGATTTCCGATTCATTCCTATGTATTCATTCACACTGTCACTCCTCCTGACATTGCTCCTACATCTGACACGCTTGCTCCTCTGGCATGTGAAGGTCAGGGATTGCGGTGGCTAGAGCACTCTGTTTCTAAGCCTTGAAACCTCTTTCTTGCAGGAATCTGCTTCCTGTCTGGAGGCCAGAGTGAAGAGGAGGCTTCTGTCAACCTGAACGCCATGAATCAGTGCCCTCTGCCTAAGCCTTGGAAACTGACGTTTTCATACGGGAGAGCCCTGCAAGCCTCTGCCCTGGCAGCATGGGTGGGCAAAAGCGAGAACAAGAAGGCTGCACAGGAGGCCTTCCGCAAGCGGGCACAGGTACGAGGCTTTCCCGCAGCACAGAGGGGAGCTGCGCACCATGAAGGGACATATGTTGTCACCTTCCTAAGGCTCCTGTTGTTCCCACCCCTCCTGGTGCTTCACGTTCACCAGGGATGTTACTCTGTGATTTCTGCCTTGCTTGCTTTCTCCTGGTGCCTTTCTACATATGTCTTTCTTACTCCAAGCTCACTGGTTTCCCCTTCCTTTTTGTTTCTTTTTCAGATTAATGGTTTGGCTTGCAGAGGACAGTATGTCGTGTCTGGGAAGACTGACACAGCTGCCATGCAGTCACTTTTCACTGCCAGCTACACCTACTGAAAGTGCAGGAACCTTCCTTCGTCCTGTCCCTCTTCACAAGGTGGAAGATGTTCAGAAATGAAAGAAAACCAAAGAAATTTAATTTCCCTTACCCTGAACAAAACTGGAGATAAAATGGATTAGCTTCCTCTCCACCCTTCTCTCCCACGATTTACCAAGGGAATATTCTTGTTTCATCTGCCCATTCCAAGGAAGGGGAATTGTTTCCATATAACAAACAACAGCTGCCAATGAATCACGAACCCACTCTCCCTCTGGTTTAAACTTAGTCCCCATAATAGTAGGCAGATTTAGTAGTTCCCTAGCAATTCAAATACATACCCTTGCCCATTACCACATTTTGCAGCCAAAATCCTGAATTACAAAACCTGACTGTGCCTTCAATCATGGGAATAAAACAGTAATTGAAAACTAATCTCTATCTCACAATTCTTTATTCTGTATAAACTTTACAGTCTCTTTCACACATCTGTCATTTTCAGTAGCCTATGCAAAGATTAAGTCACAAAGCGTTACTGCTGGTGAGCTTGGGAAACCCTGAGGAGACCAAAGGGAAATAATCCAATAGCGATACAGCTGGGGACATTAGTCCTGCTGACTGAAGTCTGACAGACACTGAGAAAACTTGAGAGACATGTATGGTGAGCAGTGCGCTGGAGTCAGGCCACAGATTAATAACACTACCTTCAGAAGCCTCTCATGTCTCTGGAGAATCATGGTTGTTGTGATGAGGCTGCTCTACACCGAGTTAGGGTTGCACAGGTTGAATTAGTGCTGTGCAAAGACTGTTTTTCCAAAGCACTTTTATGGTGGCATTTTGCACAATAATTAACATAAAACATGCAGGGAGGCATCTTGGCCCACAGTTTGACCTTTGGTATGTTGCTATGTACCTGTTAGAGGTGTGAGCTTTGTTAGCTAAAGCACAATTAGGCAGTTGTTACGAAAAAAGGCATAAATGGCAGAAATAGCAGATCTAAGGTTATACAAGAACATTCGCCTGGCAACACACTACACCAATGAATTATCGACACCTTGGAGCAGCCCACCAACCAGCAAAGACCACGCAACCCAGAAGACACCCCCCCCTCGTCCCTCCAGGGCCACCTAGGACCAAGCCTGCGCAGCTGGAGCCAGCCCACTCTGCAGGCTGCTCCTGCCAGAAGGAAAGGGAAAACAGGGAAAAGCACTGCCCTGTCACCTCCTCGTGTTCTTTGCATTAGTAACCACTCTTTCACACAGGCAATAAATAGCCAAACTCCTTCACATGGATCCAGTAGTTGCATAATTAATGCATCCATTTAATCTGTCCTGACCTCAACCATGAACAAAGAGCAAGTGACTTGCAGGTCCTGTAGGTCTCCATGCACCTGAGTTCAAATAAACCTCTGCTCCTGATGAGAAGCATCCTAGTGTTCTACGTAGATTGCTTCTCTTAAAATTGAGAGTGGAAAAAATGTTCCTCCCAAACTGGCAAAAGAAACCATCTCACACTTTATAAAACTAAAGCTGTAGCATTGCTAAATAATTCGTGCTCCTTTGCTGGACACCTGTCACACATGCTGTGGCTGATGCAGCTGGCGGCTGTGCCCAGGCTCCTTATGTTTCTCTTTGACAGGGGTGTTTGTGACCAGCACAAGCAGGCGTCTGCTGAATGTACTACCATGAATCAAAGCAAGGCTGTGTATAGACGAAACGTTATTTCTCACGTTTAAAAATGAACATCCTTTTAAAAATTAGGAAAAGTGATATTCTCATATAATTGAGTGCCCGGATCAGACATGCCGCCTACAGAATAAACTCACTGTGAAAACGGCCTGGCTGACAGCACCGGCAACCGTCACACCCCGCAGAGGGGATGAGAACCTCCAGAGGCAGAGTCTTCGACTGGCAGAAATACACAGCGATCGCTGAAGTCACAGCGGGTGACGTCTGCCCTTACCTTATGTTGCTTTAGGATTAGGATTTAGGACGGAGGGGACGGTTGGGGGGCGACCGTTAAGGGCCGGCGCGCCCTCCGCCCTGCGCGCGGCAGGACTACGGTTCCCGTGAGGCAGTGCGGGTGGGGCGGAAGTACGTCCCCCCCCGCCGGCGGGCGGGAAGAGGCTTGGCGTCCCCTGAGGATGGCGGCGGTCGCCGCGCTGCGGGCCGTCCTCAGCGCTCGGTTTTCGTGCACCGGCCGAGAGCGTGTTGGGTCGCAGGCCTCGTGGCGTCCCTGCCGAGGGTGCGCTGCTAGCAGGCGGGTGTGACGGTGCAGAGTTATGTTTTTCAATGCTCTTAACTGCTTTGGACAGGGAACTTGCTGGGTGTGGAAAAAGAGATGTTTCAGCGCAGTACTACAATGCGAATGAAAAATAGGCGTTTCCGTTTAACTTTTCAGGTGAAACCATGCTTATAGTATTCGCTAGATTGTGGCATATGAGCAAATCAAATAACTTGGGGTAGGCTTCAATTTTCTAGTTAAATCTAGTGGTCGTATTTTTTTTTTGTCTGTGGGCACTAATTTTTTCTGTGGGCCCTATTTTTTTCTATAGCAGTAGTTATTTTCTGTTGTCCTTTTTTTCACAGCAGATTAGAAAATGGAGCTGTAACTGGGAAAACAAGTCATTAATCTGGTTAAAATTCTGTTTACACTCAGACCAATAAAATAAGCTAGGCGGGTGATTGCTGTGTAGAGACAACCTATGTGGTGAGCAGCATTTGGGGAAACCCAAAGGCCTAGCCTGTGTGCTTTTGTTCTTGCATGCATAATGAACCTGTTGTGTTCATGGGATGTGTAAACTCTCTACAGGCTAAGCCGAGTCTGATATTAAAAGACTATGAAGAGAAATATGCTCTGACTAAGTCTTAAGTAGCCCAGAGACTGAAAATACTTCTTTCTCATGTCAACAGGAAGGAGGAAAAAGAAGTAGAAGCAGACAAAATAATTCATCAAGAGAAAAGTGAACCCAGCCTGATCTGCCCCCCACCACGCAGCAGAAACTACCTTCCTCCAGAGGATATACGGAGCTCCGTTGAGTCTCACGTCAAGGAGATTTTTGGACCCTCACTTCCTGATAATTGGCAGCAGACACCACTCAAAGAAAACAGGTTGAAGTATCGCCTTCTGGCTCAGCTGGCAGCAGAGCTTGGTCATGCTGTCCCCAACTCACAGCTTCACCTGATGTGCAGTGCTGAGGATGTCTTGAATTTCTATAGCACTCCTGTGAAGGATGTGTCCAAGTTTAATGAACTGTGTGCTGCAGAGCTACCCCCAAACCTGAAGATTATCTGGGAGCAGTGAGTCACACCACGAAGCTTCACTTTGCTTTGCTTGTGTTCCTGAGGCACGACTGCAGCACAGAAGCAGAGCCCTTTCATTGTGGTAGCAACCAGATATATAAATATCACTAATAAAAGTTCATTTAGTTGTCCTCAGGTTTCATTGTTTCTGTTTTATTATATACAGAAAAAAGAACAGAAATTCTTCCTGTGAAACAGTGACACACTGTGATCAATAGTAACAGTACTAATGCATGCTTTCTGGCCTTTACTGTGCTGCCCAACAGTTACAGGGTCCAGTGGGGATAAATGGGGGGGACCAACTCCGCGGTTTCTTCCCTGAACTTCATAAATTTCTTGTCTTCCGTTCTGAACTGTGTAATGGGCTTTTGCGAGTGCAGTTTGGCTATGTCAGGAGCCCTGTTCAGCTTCGCCACCAAAACTAGGTGGGCCAGCAAACTCTTGGGGAAGGAGGGGGGAAGTAAGCCAGCATCTTTTTTTTTTTTTTTTTTTTTTCCCTTGAGATTGAAAAGACCCTGTCAGCAGTAAGGTTTTTAAAAGCCATCACAGGTGCCATCTTAAAATAAAACCACTTGTTCTACTCAAAACTGCTACATGAAGACGGTGGCAAGTGGAATTCAGAAATCTCTTAAATGAGTAATGGTGAACTCTCCAACAGCCCTATAGAAACAGCTGCCATCAAGGCAGCTTGTAGAATTCTTCCATGTCTGCTGGAAGACCCCATTTTTATATTTTTAAGTTCTATTGCTCCATCTAATAGCTATTGTTTAGTTTTTCTAATATATGTTGGCTATGATAGTTCTTCTGTAGCTATGGAAAAACATGTAATAGCTATATGTTAGTTGTTCTTCCTGTGTAACTGATGATGGTTTTCTTTTAATCAAAGGAGGCAAGCAGTGAAGTCAGAAGGACAGAAAAATAAATGCAACAGTCTGAGAAATGCGTGGTACTTTGTGAGTGTTTTCTACAAAACAGGTTGTTTGCACTGAGGTTAGATTCTGTATGTGTGGTTGTGGTTTAACCCCAGCTGGCAGCTAAGCCCCACACAGCCACACGCTCTCCCCCCTGCCCAGTGGGATGGGGTACAGAATTGAAGAGTAAAAGTGGGAAAACTCCTGGGTTGAGATAAAGACAGTTCAATGGGTAAAGCAGGAGCCACACGTGCAAGCAAAGCAAAGCAAGGAATTCCTTCACTGCTTCCCATCGGTGGGCAGGTGTTCAGTCATCCCCAGGAAAGCAGGGCTCCATCACGTGTGACAGTTACTTGGGAAGACAAACGCCATCACTGTGAACGTCCCCCTCTTCCTTCTTCTTCCCCCAGCTTTAGATGCTGAGCATGACGTCATATGGTGTGGGATATCCCTTTGGTCAGTTGGGGTCAGCTGTCCTGGCTGTGCCCCCTCCCAGCTTCTTGTGCAGCCCCAGCCTCCTCGCTGGTGGGGTGGGGTGAGAAGCAGAAAAGGCCTTGACTCTGTGCAAGCACTGCTCAGCAGTAACTAAAACATCCTTGTGTTATCAACACTGTTTCCAGCAGAAACCCAAAACAGCCCCATACTAGCTACTTTGGAGAAAATTAACTTTATCCCAGCCAAAACCAGCACAGTGATATTTCTGGGAATGAATGACCCAGAAATACCCTGGTTATACCACTTGCTCCCCTGAACCCTAGCTCCCCTGCTTGCTTTCAGCGTGCAAGTACCTGAAGCACACTTAGGAACTGCTGCTTTTGCGTGTTGCAGTGCTCAGTTTCTTTATTCAGCAAACTTCTCAAGTGCTACTTTCTTCTCATAGCTCTGAAGAAATTTAAGAAACCTATTCTTCTTTTAAGTCCTGGGGAATTACAGAATAGCGTAAGTGTATTACTACATGTTCCATCGCGTGGTGAATGTGTGGGAACTGGGGATGTTTCACTGGTCACTGTGGAAAGCTGGCTGTTCACAGATCCTTTCCCGGTAACTTATCACAAAAACACAGTGTGATAAATAGCTAAATCTGTGTCATCTTGTCTGCTTCTGTTTTGGAGCAATGAATTGGAAGTATTTTTTTCATGAAATTATGTCTTCCCATCAAATGAGAGATACTTAAGCCTCCTTGTTTCCTCTTACTCAGTACTCATTATCTAAACAACACTTTCAGTGGTAGTTGCACTTTCTGCTCTGTCTCTCCCAGTGTGTAATCTTCAGAGCTTATGTAATGTGATCAGAAGAGACAGTGAAAAATAGAAGACTGAGAAGTAGGAGGACAGGCAAGAAAGGAGCAGGACAACAGCCTCGTCTCATGTTTTGCTGTGTCTGAGTTGAGTCAAATTGCCATTTCCCTAATCTCAAATACTTTAGTCCCTCTGAGGTGCAAACCTCACGCTTCCACCAGCACACCTGCGCAAGAAGCTGCAGGGACTAAAGTACAAAGGAAGAAGATCAGATACAGGCGTCTGAGATGCAAAACTTCTAACTGCTTGCAACAAGCTGAAAAAGCAGAAGTCAGAAGTGAGATCGAAGTCTTGCATGGAACACCTGTGCCATGGAAGGGCTAAGACTTCTAGGTGCGTAAAAGCTCTTTTTAATCCTTGGGCTTTCAAAAGTACCTAATTTCTGTTGAATTCAAGTATAAACAAATAAATAAATAATTCAAAGCACGGCCTGTACATTTTCAGGAAGCCTGATCTTCATTTGTTTTAGGCAGAACCAGTGGAGAAGTTCAAAAGAAAGTGTAAAGAAGCCAGGTTAGGAGGGTATTTCTTAACAGAGAGACTGGATGCCATACTAGGTGGACCGGTGTCTCCATGAATGAGAGAAAGCTGCAGCGCGCTATGAAGAGGCTCCTTCACGTGTACAATTAGCTGAGGGAGGCTCTCCTACACAACCACCTCTGCCAGCTTGTGGGGACATCAGCAAAGTTTGCCCATTCAAGTTTGGGGGAGGATGAACATTTTATTTCTAATGCTGGCCCCTGGTTTTGATGAGATGTGCCAATTTTCCCTCCATACAGGTACTCGATTAAGGCAGGGGCAGATGCTTTTCCTGATCCCAAGAGTCATGTTCCAGAGCCTTCGCACAGCCAAGAGGCACAATCCGCACACTGGGAGGAGCAAGAACAACAGCTCTGCAGGGGTACCCACTTCCCTGTCAGATGGGAGTTAACTGGGGGGCAGAGAGAGGCCACAGCCATCCAGTTGGGTGTGGCCCACTGCTGCGAGCTGTATTGCATAGACCAGGTTCATACCTGAAGCGCATGAAACTGCACACAGCCCAAGGGCCACACATCCATCTTAAGAGATGATCCAGCTCCATGATGAAAAGCTAGCCACTGCAACATGTTTATTTTACACAGTGGGTCATATGACTGGACTACAGAAGCCACGGTTAGCTGCCTGAGCTCACTGTACACATGTGCCTCAGAACTAAAAAAAAAAAAAAAATCCAAAAGCTACCTAAAGACTGATTTTTCACTGGGTCACAGATTCCAGGAGGTGGACACACATTGTTCCTGAAGGGAAAGGTACCTGGGAAAAGCAAATGTGCTGTTAGGTTTAGACTTCCTGTGCAGAGGGTTATCCGTCAACTGGAAATGGCCGAGGGTACTATAAAATGGTAGCAAACACATAGAGCTAGTCAAAAGGAAGTGCAGTGAATGTGTGTGATAAGTCTAGCTTCATCTAACCACTCATTCAGAACTTAGGCACATGCAAACAAGCATGCACACCCCTGTGGATATGCATCTACCTGCAGACCTTTCCTGGGTGTAGGCATCCCTATGCACCATGTCAGAGAAGAGAGGAGGGCTCACTTGCTTATTTCAAAGTGGAGAGAGGTGCCTCTCACTGTGCTGCACTAACTGGAAGGATAACTGGAAGGATAAAGCAGTCCTTTGGGAAGTGGAAAACTGAGATTCAAATCCTTCTTCCACCTGGAGGATGGGTAAGAAACTCAAAACCACATCTTCCACATTCAGAAAGACTGGCTGCACCATCATGCTAGAGGATAATCAGAGGGTGACAACATCACTACCAATTCTGTGGAAGATATTGACCATGAACACAAGATTCACGCTGTGGTAACAGGACACTTGGGAGGAACACAACCTCGGGGTTCACAGCTGCAAAATCTAGGCTACAGAATATAAAGTTTTTATCTTACAGTTCAACCCCCTGCTAACCCTTTGCAGTATGAGTGGACTTGGGTGCTGCTGCCTGGATGCACCTTGAATGGAGTATTCATTGCTGATTAGCTTTCCTAACATGTCATTATTCTCCTAACACAGCAGAACAAGGACCAGTTCCACAGCCAAATTTATTCAGCAGAAATTTTCCTTGGCAATTTGCATCAAAGTTGTAGTGAGGGACCCAGAACACTATCAATGGTTCCTCATGGTCACAGAAAGCCTGCATGGCCCAAGCCTGATCCTTCTGTTCCTAAGACTGAAACAGATGCCAGTAGAGTCAGAATAAAATACCAACCTGGAAAAAACACCGCAAGACCAGACAGAAATAGACATCCCAAATTTTCTTTGTGTCATGGGCAAATGACAAAGACCAGGCTACATGTTTTGTTTTTTTGATAATTTTTTTTTGCATCTGTTTTGGAAAAAATATACAAAAAAAGCCAAGAAGAACCAACATGGAAATGTGAGGTAAACATTCCAGTAAAAGTACAGACAGAGGCTCCATTCTTTAAAGGAGACACACAGCAGTTATCACCATGCTAGAAGAATGAGATGCAGGAAAATCCTAGAAACAGTGAAAAGTCATGTAATGAAGCCTTTGCCCCAGTTCTACCCATTGTAAATGGGCTCTTTTTTGTTCTCCCCCTCCCGCCCCCCACACTTAATTGTCTTTTTTTTCCTTAAACAAAGTTGTTAAATTGTAAAATAGCAGTTTTGATATAAATTCTGTATGGCAGAATTTTAAAAAAATGCAGACTGCTACTACAGACTGTGTCAGGTTTGTTTTTTTGTTGTTGTTTTTTTTTTTTTTTCACTTGCCAAAGCCCCTCAGTGAAAACT